GGCAGTTCTGGTCCTTACTGAGGAAGACAGAGGCAAAGAAGTTATTAAATATGTTGGCTTTGTCATCTGGCGTGACAACCAGATTCCCCGTCTTGTCCTGCAAGGGCCCCACATTTCCTGGGGCCTTCTTTCTACTCCCTATGTATTTAAAAAAGGACTTCTTGTTGTCCTTAATCCGGGAAGCCAGCCCCTGTTCCATCTCTGCCTTGGCCTTCCTAACCATCCCCCTACATCCCCGAGATGTGTTGCAGCAGCCAACAGTGCCCCTCTGTCAAAAGCATGGCTTTCCTGGTACACATGGGGAATGGGATGCCATGTCTTGGACAGTCCAGGAGTAGCCCATGTGGCAGTTTCCTCCTTAGTCCTACCAGGCCTGCTAGATGATGAGCCCTGAATGGGGATGGGATGATGCTATGCTGCCAGCTGGGTCGATGAACCCTAATGAGAATTTTCAGGAGCTGTATTCTGTTCTCCATGCCTGGTGTAATCATATCCCCTCTTCCCATCACCTCCCTGAGATCACCATTACTGGCCTTTTCATCGCCAATGTTGGCCTTAGAGGACTAGTACTTGCTGCTTCTGACCTGGTCTAGTTGGTGAACTGGTTCCTTGATCATGCGGTGAGGGAATGGGAGCAGCTGCCAGGTTTTCTGGGGATTTGGACATGGGAGGAGGGATAACAACCACAGTCTGCCAGAAGCAGGTGTTTCTTTCTGTGGTTTAGGATGAAGAGATATTGCAAGTCTCTGTGCCTCTGTTGAGTAACTGGGTTACAGTGGTGATAATCTATCTGCAGTTATGTTCTGGTAAGATGAAGTACAATTATATCAAAAGATCCTGCAGGTGTTGTACCAGCTCCAGTGGAAGTGTTGCTCAGTTTCATCCCCATGGAACAAAACATACCTTCCCACTCTCTGCTGAGGCACAAGAAGTTGTGTATCTTCAACAGCTCTGGTGCTTAGATGCATAGTAGACCATTGGGCCACAAAATATAGAGGATTTCTTATGTTTTCTTGAACATAATTGAGGCACTTCCTACCAGAAGTGCTCTACCAGATAATTCCTGGCTGGACTCCTTGGTTGCCTGTAGATGTGTGGGGATGCTGTAATTACAATTCAGTGGAGCAGACTTGATAATTCAAGTCTGCTCGAGCATGCTAATTCGCGTGCTCCAGCAGCCTCAGCATCTCATGTATTCAGTGCCCCTGTGCTTCAAAATGGCAGTGGGGGTGCTTTAACTAAAGCTTATCAAATGAGCTTTAGTTAAAGCATCATTGCCACCATTTTGAAGTGCGGGATGCTGAATACATGACACACTGATTGTGGCTTAATTAGAGTGGCTTTCAGAGCTGCTCTAATTAAACCACCCTCCTCCACTTGGAGCACCACCTCCCCCTTTGGGTAAAGATGCCCAAATGCCTGGTGAGCCTATGGAATAGGGGAAAAAGATAGTGCTGCAAATAGTGCCAGATCTTGTCCCTTTCCTTCTGCAGCTAGTCTGCCTACTATGGTGTGTGAGCAATCACATATCCCTGTCCTAAGCCAGGAAGCATTTTTAACTTTACCAGGGGTGGTGTGCTGGGGCTGTGTGGCTGGAGTCTTATGCCACAAGTTTGATCCATCGTACGGTCCACAGAAGTGTGGTGGGAAGTGTTGGAGGGATTTGGCTAAGCAGCAGCTCTACAGAAAAGGACCTGGGGGTTACAGTGGACAATAAGCTGAATATAAGCCAACAGTGTGCTCTTGTTGTGAAGAAGGCTAACAACATAATGGGCTGCATTAATAGGAGTGTTGCCAGCAAATTGAAGGAAGTGGTTATTCCCCTCTATTCAGCACTGGTGAGGCCACATCTGGAGTACTGTGTCCAGTTTTGGGCCTCCCACTACAGAAAGGAAGTAAAGAAATTGGAATAAGTCCAGGAGAGGACAAAAAAAATGGTTAGGGGGCTGGGGCATGTGACTTCTGAGAAGAGGCTGAGGGAATTGGGCTTATTTAGTCTGTAGAAGAAAAGACTGAAGGGAGATTTAATAGCAACCATCAACTACCTGAAGGGTGGCTCCAGAGAGGATGGAGCTAGACTGTTCTTAGTGGTGGCAGATGACAGAACAAGGAGCAATGGTCTCAAGCTGCAGCAAGGGAAGTTTAGGTTAGATATTAGGAGAACTTTCTCACTATGAGGGTAGTAAAGTACTGGAACAGGCTACTCAGAGGTGGGGGAATCTCTGTCCTTAAAAGGTTTTTAAGACTCAGCTAGACAAAACCTTCGGTGGGATGTTATAGTAGGGAATGGGCCTACTTTGAGCAGGGGGTTAGACTAGATGACCTTTGAGGTCTCTTTCAGCCCTCATTTTCTATGATTCTCAGGCCTGTATATCCTTACTCTAAATGTCAGTAGAGTAAGCAGGTATCCTTGTGTCTCTAAGGAGGCAGATTCCCTCCTTTTCTGGTAGTTGTTTGGGAGCAGACTGATTATTTCCTTCAGCCAGCAGTGCCTGGGGTCATATATAAATATCTTGTTCCTATGGATGTCAGCTCAGGGCTTTTGTGCTCAGGGTTGCCCATTGCCTGAATGAGAGAGCTTGGCATTTTTGTGGGTGGGAATAGGATTGGTTTCTGCAGGTTCACTTGGCTCTGCATTGCCACAATGAAAGAAGGATGCACCATCCTGGGGGAAACAGGATTGCTCTCTTGTGCCTTGATGGGCAATGTTGGGGGCTTGTAGCAACAAAGTCTTAGTGGTGTGATAGAATCTGGACCTAAATCTTTGTAACTGCACTCTCCATCTTAAGAGTTCTATGAGCTGCAGTAGGTATTTGAAACTGTGATATGAGGCATTGTGGGATATCTTTACATTAAGAAGTTTCTGATATTTTAAAAAACAGAAAATAATTGTTAAAGAGGTTTTATTAAAACTTATTTTTGTGCTAATTATCCATCTTGAATCTTTATCCTGGTTAGTGTAGATTTTCCACGTACACCTCCAATACTTATTCACATTTCATTTCCATTCTGCAGTTCATCTTATGAGGACTGGATAAAATTCTCCCCTCTGCTCCTATTTTGGGATATTGGACTAATGCTTTTTACTTCTGGAGTTCAAATGGTAGATGCTCTGGGGTCCTGAGAGAGATTTAATGATTTCAGACTCTCCACAGACTCAGTGTGGTATATTTTAGAAACCACCTCATGATTTAGCATGATGGGAGTCTGCACAGGAGTGTTTCATGGCTGGGTACAGCATTAAAATGATTAAAGTTATCAAAGCAATGATATTAAAGGTCAAGTTTCGTTTTCCACTATTAAAATGTGGGGAAACTTGAACTCATTTTCTAGAATTTCCCTGATGCTAATCTCTTCTGCGAGTTACTTCCCCAACAATGAGCAACATAAATCTTGAGAGGAAGAATGTTTGACTCATGTACTTAAAGATGTATTTAATTGCTCTCATTGTAACACTTGGGATTTTTTTTTTGTTGCATTGTTTTTCAGGTTAGAACGTCCTGAAAAAATCAGCACTAATGGAGTACTAGTGGTAATCTTTTCTTTTTTCCTGTAATCTTGCCTGTATAGCATGGGAAACACTGAAATTACTGAGGGGACTCAAGATTTGGAGGTTTGCCTCACAGCCTGTACTTTAAAAACCCACACTTTAACTAAGGTAGAATCTGGGAAAGCGGTGAACACAATGCCACTGTCTACCAAAGACTGCATGTTCCCATGTGCTAATGTGGCTCTTTGGGATATAGTGGCAAAGGGATTAAAACACCTTGTTATAGTTCCAAAGGCATGAGTGTGAGCTTTGCTTCTTACTCCCACTGCCATCAATGTGGTTAAACTGGTAATTTGGAGTGGGGAATGAAAACCTGCCAGATATGATGCTAGTTGTGACTCCCTTGGGTGCTGTTGTCTTCAGAAGTTCTTCCTTGACCTTGCTAGCCTGTTAGGCCTCCTACACTTGGGTGTTTGTATCTTCCCGTTTGTATACTTATTGCTTAATGTGTTTGAAACTGTATTAGGGAAGTGACAGAACTTACACAGCCAGCTTCACTCAAAGTATTCCTTGTCTTGACACCAGACTTAAATAGCTGTTACTTTAATCATTCCACCACCCTGTGTTTTCAAATTCAGACTCTTAAGATGTTCCCATTTTTGCTTCCCAAGCATGTCGTCATCACCATCCTCCTTGGTAAATATTGGAAGAGATTTGCTAGAGATTCTTCCTTGTCACTATTTTGTCAATTACAAGAGTACAATCTGAATCACTTAGGATTTCAGCTGTGTCATTCTTTGTCAACATATGGTCATCTCTGTTACAGTCACGTGAGATTTCCTGTTTGGAAGTCAAAGTGGATGCAGAGAAACTGAAGCAGCAATCCACAAGTAAGACTATCGTTTTATTAACTGGTTGTTTACATGTTTGTTATTCAGTAATTACAGTAGAAGCTGGAACATTAATAATCTACTATATAGGTTCCAAAGGCAATGTTGTCATACTTCAGTATCACAGAAGTCCACATTAAATTTACATTTTGTTTGAAATGCAATTAAACAAAAATCAGGACATTCAAACGTCTGGGTCTTGTAACATTCTCTCCTTTTTGTTCAAAGAGTACTATATTTTCTGAAACTTAGCAAAAGTTCAGGAAAAAATTCTGTTGGTTGGCCACGTATAAAATGTAAATGTGTGCCTAGTCTTGACTCGGTACTGTTGTTTTAAATATTATTTCACCATTAAATTACTGCAAAATACATCTTAAACGCTATACTTTAGTTAGGTTGGAATATGCCAAAATCCATTTTTTTTCAAAAGGGACATTTTTGAGTTGCTTGGAAAAACATAGTGTTCCAAAAGTTTAAAGTTTAAATTGTACACACAGGCATGGGTCTGCACAGATTTCATTTGCAGGTTTGAGATATGTTTGTGTAATCGAAGTCCCATTTGGAATCACTGCTTTTCCTCAGAAATGTATTTCATGGACTAGCTTTTTAAATAAAAGTTACACAATTTTAAAAAAGCATGACCTGTATCTAGACAAAAAAGGCCCCATGAATAAACTGCTTACAACAAATGGCCTGATTACCAATGGCCAGACCTTGCACAGAAAGTTTATTTGAAAGACAATTTGGAGGAAAAGGACAACTGAAAAAAAATCCTAAAGATGTTGCCATTTATCTTCTTGAGACAACAACATTTCAGCTTCTGACATTCCTGTACGAGCACTTTGAAAGTGCAGTGTCATCTTCTGAGAATACAGCAGTCTGTCCGTAGAATATTTTATAGGAATTGTGACCCTAGGATGTTAGTCATAATGGATCTTAGTTAGATTGCTACTGAGTAATTATAAAAAGGAAGACAGAGGTAAATGACTCTTTTTGTTTTTGCAATGAGCTACTCTAATTAAAACACCACAGCATCATGTGTATTAAGCCCCTGTGCATTTAAAAATGGCTGTGGGGCACTTTAACTAAAGCTCATTACACAAACTTTAGTTAAAGTGCCCCAGCATCCATATTTAAACCCACAGGGGTTTATACACATGATGCTGCGGCAATGCTAGAGCATTCTAATTAGAACATTGATTTTTTTTTCATCCTCTGGGCATGTTCAAGGGTGATGCTTGGAGAGACCTGTAGCCTAGTGATTAGAATACTCTGCTGAGAAGCAGGAGACACAGGTTCAAGGTCTTTCTGGGTAATGGGGGCCCTATAACTTGAGTGAGTGTCATATCCATTGGCTATTGGGCTAAAATATGGGAGGTCCCTCCTCCTAATCATGGGGTTTTGCATAGCTACAACTTGGGAACATATGCATATATGAAGGGGAACATATGATGCTGCATACCTGCTTGGATGGAGTACAGCCCTACTGAATATGCTTAGTCATTGTGTGGAGACTTGAACATCCTTGCTGTACTGGGAATAAAATTATACTGTTCATAAATGCCAAAAATTAAATTTATGAAAATATTCTAGAATATGACTTAGTCCTTTATGGGCACAGATAGTTTAGACAGATGAGACTTTGGTAGCTTTTGTGACACATTCTAGATTTTTTAAACATCTATTTTAATATGAAACCTGTAGGAAGAACTGGGCATTTTATATGAGAGGATATTTTTAAATAGTTGTATGTTTTGAGTTATAGGTGTGTACTGTAAAAATTCTCTTGTTCTGTGTCTCTTGTCTGTAGAGGAAGAACTCACGTTTACAGTAAAAGGATCTCATGAAGGAACCCAGAAGATTTCACTGAATCCTGACTCCCTAGATTCTGTTATGTTTCACTGTATAAAAAATAACCCAACGAAACTGGATGTTACTTTACCAAAGAAGATCCTTTCTTCCATTGTACGTAATCATTAGTTTTATTAAAATAACATCAAATAGAACATTGCGAGAAATGTTAGCTTGCTTTATGTGGGGAATTTTGGTTGTAGTAGAGGGTTAGTCCTTTCTTCCTGGTTGTAAGTCACCATTGTGTTTTACCCTGCCCTCTCCTGCCCCTTCCCCACCCCCCACCGCCTTTTTTAAATTTCAGCTGGCCCCAGCTAAACAGGATTCTGAGAAAAAAGGATTCCTGACCCTGCCTCTGAATTCTCTTCCTTTGCAAAAGAATATAACAATAACAGGGGTGAGTACCGCACATGTTTTGGAATAGTTATTTTAGTTATTCAATTTTTAGTATTAGAGGGATACTTTTGTTATTTTTGGTTAGAGAACGCCATTACTGTGTGGTGTGGTTCTAATGCATATTTGAAAAAGTGATATGAAATTTCACTTTCAATTTCTTACGAAAGTATCAAAAAGCAGCAATCATTTCAGTGGCCTGGGTGAGTAGGGCACCTGTTTTTGGCACCCAGTTAGAGGGTGTCCAGAATGGTGAAGGGACTCCATGCTGCTGCCGAAGCATTAGCAACAAGAGCCAGGCCAGGTAGACCACTTTGTACCAGCAGGAGCTGGGCACTTTGAGTCTTCAGGGCAGGTAACATTGGCCCTTCCTTTTTTTCTCTTCCCAAGTTTAGCTTAGGATTACCCTTCCCCTCTTGCCTCCCCACCCCTTGTAGGAATTTGCTCAGGGCACAAAACCCATACTGCTAATTACAATACTTACTCAAATATAAGATGACCCCCTGATAATTAGATTCTGTATATGGAAAATGTATATGTTTGGTATTATTTTCCAGGTATACAATTTAAATATTGGAGGGTTGTCTTGGATCCCTCTCCCTCCCTCCTCCAACTGTTACAGCACAGTGGCTGTGGGC